TGTAGTTATACAAATCGTACGTGATTTTTTCACTTATATTAGAACATTAAGTTATTATGTACTTATCAAGAAATATATAAATTTATAGTATTAATGAGTTACATTTACAAATGTAATCGTGAAGAAATAAACAATCGAGTATAGAAAAGGGCAAGATGTTAGCAAACGAAATTATACGTCATTACTAAAAACATATAAAAAACACAAACGAAGGGGAGGACGAGGGCAAAAGCCTGTGTTATGACATACTAAATAATAATACAGTAACTAATATACTTCTATAATAATTCTTATTCTTATCGTCTTACAATGAAATAACTAACTTGTAAAATCAAAGTCTTTTACACGGACAGGACAGGCGTGCCATTTAAGTCTTCCGAAGTGTCCAGTGGGTAAGGCTGGTAATAAATTTTCGTTAGTCCCGAAAGTGTGGGCAGGATGTCAAACTAAACAGTATCTCCCTCCCGAGACACCGAACTTACCGGGTCGCTAATCCACACCGCCCCGTAAATTAGTATCCACTAGTCTCCGATTGGACGGACGGCAGTCTAAAAGTAAATTTTTCTTGGTTCTAGACTAAAATTCTGATAAGACGCGGAGTATTTCTTACTATTCTATTATTTTTTTCTTCTTATTACGCATAACCTTGACCAAAGTAATTTAATCACTCCAAATAAATTCTGATCTTCTCGTGGGTATGCCAGTTCAAACACACTACACACAACACACACACGTTACATTGGAAAAAAAAGGTTACTTTATAATTTCAGAGGGTCCAGGCACTTAAAAGGACTTTCACCACAATAGCATCGCTCGGGATCACAACAATTTTTACCGTAAGATGTATCCGCCCTAACACTCGTCCAAATCCAATCCGGATTTATGTTTTGGCGAGACCGCCAAGATCAATAATTCCATTAATCCATGTCATCTGCCGGGAAAAAAATAGTCATTGCTTAAAATCGGTCAACTTCGTATTTTCAGGTTGATTGACTCCCAGTGAACGTTACTGTCACGGTTAAATCGACGACTCTTTCTTTCTAGTCCCCCCCTCCCTCTCTCGACACCAATACCCGGTAATTCAACACATTTATGTGTTCCCCGACTCTCGAACGGCAAGTAAGTTCTGACAAATGTCTTTTTTGCCATATGTTGCCTAGATATAAAGAATCCCGCTACGTACAGTTAAATTTAGTTTGTTGATAGGAAAAAATTATTAAGTTAATGTTGGATAACAAAATTTAGGGTTATTTTTGTGTTTTGTAAAAGTATTTCAGCGTATTTCGTAAATTTAATTTATAACCCTTTCAGTCACAGCAATGACTGAACAACTCTTACACCGGTACATTATTCCGCCCTTATTTAAACCGTCGCTGAACAAAGGAATACCCCTTTCTATTGTCGGGCAGGTACACCACATGGCTCCACACACACCAATTTTGTGAAAGTACTTCACTTCCTCCAAAAGAAGATATTTTTATTGTGTCGACACCGTCGTCACCTCACAGTACGGCCTGTACTTAGTATCCTTACGTTCCGTCTGACCACGTGTGTGGAGAGGACGACCGGTCCGCTGTGCGGGCACGAGATTTTTCCGGCACAGGCCGAGGTGTGAGGGAGTGTAGCGGGTTCGTAGGGCGTGTTCACATAATAACAACCAATGGAGAGTCTACAATACAAACGTCGACACAGACAGGATACAAGTCACTACCCGTTTGAACAGTGGAAAGCTCGCTTTAAGTGTGCAAAACTTAGCCGGTTTTATCCAGCAAACACACTAAGTACATCTAGACGTTATTTTTATAATAACCTAATACCCCCCCAAGACCCTGGGCCTCATTAGACGCCGGGGCACTCCTTACAACTACACGGTAGATACTGTGCGGTACCCACAAGAACTTCAAAACACAACTGAAAGTCCATGAAACTTGTCTTTCTGTATTTGTGAATGAAGTGCCATCTCCTGGTTAAAACCTGAAATTGAAAATCTGGCAACGCCCTCTAGGAAAATAGTGGGAGGGCTTAACATTCCTCTATACTGGTCTTTGGCAGGTCGTAGGCAGGAAGCTGTAAGCTGGAGTCTGAAATGCAGTGCTACATCTGTAAGTTACATCCGCAGAGAGATTCGGTTCGGTTCGATCACATAATGTAACACAGTAACGCACCCATTTAAATCACAGTAACTATAACGGTGTTACTGAATTGGAATAGGTAAGTAGTAACGTTATTAGTTACCGCAAAAGGTAGTTGCGTTACAGTAACGCGTTAGTTTGTAACGCGTTAGTCCCAACACTGGTTATAATAAAGAAAATATTTGTAAATGAATGGAGATCAAAACACATGCTCTTTTTGTTTTCAGACTGCTGCTTCCCGCAGACTTCACTGTGGTCACCTACAGTCAGAACGGATCACTCATCACATCCAGACCTCCTGTACAGGTAACACACTAGTACTCACTCACTCACTCGATGAATGAAATGTCGATGCAGAAATGTAATAATCGGAGATTCTCACCGCTAACATCTAAGCACCCGTGAAGTGATAGGACCTTTTGATGCGTCCAATCAGCTGACATCAGAGAAGTACAGGTCAGCAGAGTCATGCATGAAATTGACTGACAGGGATCAAGCATAAAACAGACTAATACAGGCAAGGCTCTCCAAACTACTGGAACTGCTTGTGTTTAGAATTGTTCAAAGTTTAGATTTAACCACGTCCACATTGATGTAGCTCTGCGCGACTGCGTCATGGATGTATAAAGAGAACGTCGTTTTCCCCATCTTAATGACGCTCATATAATATCACGTCTACTCTTGTTTTGGGGGGGGGGGACAGTATAGGGCGTGTTTATCAGAACACAAATAACTAGCCAACTACCCATCTCCTGGAAATCATGCTGAAAAGTTCCAGAGATCTTTGGCCAACCTGATATTTTATTTCCTTTTGACAGTGTTGGAAAGTAACCAAGAACATGATCCTATACTTTACTTATGTACAAAACGTGACAAACAGAAAAACTGGCCATTTGGCTAAAGATTGTTGGCTAGTTTATTCTTTGTAAATCCACTGTGAATCAATGTTAGCATTTAATTAACATTTACTCTGCTATTCATAACTGTGATCGTCCTTCATTAAAAAGCCACTATTTTCATCAATCCAGCTTGAAAAAGATTCTCTATAAAGCGACTGTAGCTGTCAAATTCATATTTCGCCAGATGAAGACCCGAGAGGTGACGCTCTGATGCTTTGTTTTAGACACATGATGTATACTTGATAACTAATAACTGATGCTCCTATAGTGTCAGGGTTGGGAAAAAATAGGACCCAAAAGCAGAATGAGGAGGGAAGCAGGTTTCAAAATGGAACAAAAGGCGAGCTTTATTCACAAAAGCTGAAAAAACAAGAATCCATGAACAGGTACAAGGCCCGAGGTAGCATCCAAACAAAAAGGGACTTTGACCAACATGAAGGGAGACATGAACGACAAATAATAAACCAACACCGAACACAAGACTAAATACAGGGAGGGGTAATCACGAGACGAGAAACAGCCGGGCAGGGGAGGAGAGACACAAGGGCAACAGATGAACACAATCAGACAATTAGACACACCAGGGAAACTAACGACAGGGATGACAGAATAATAACCCCAAAACTAGACACATAAAAACTCAAACCCTGACATTTATTGATCTCATGACGCTTCAAATATTTCTTGGGGGAATTTAGGAGGAGTTCCATAAATCTTAGTTCAACATTTTAAACGAAACCACTTTTCTCCTTTTTATGTTTTTTAGGTTTAGGTTTTAGAAACAGGTTTATTCAACAGTATGTTTACACATACAAGGAATTTGCTTTGGTGTGTTAGGTGCATGCATAGACACAGTCAGATTAATTCAATAGTAAATGTAGAACAATTATAAAGACTTTTCTAAACACTATTTAGACATAAATTACTACGTAAATAAATATATAGAGAAATGAGCTGTGCAGATCTTAAAAGAGGTAGAAGTAGTATGCAGAAGTATACAAAGTGACGTGCGGGATTCCCAGCATTAAAAATGAAAAAGATTTCCTCACATGATGTTCATTATTGTAATGCATAGTGTTTATGGAGGGGTTAAGATGCAGTGTCGGGGTCCCGGGCTTGTTGATGAAAACAGTAGCTCAAAGTAAAAAAAAATGTAAACGAGAAGGATAAGTTCAAATCCAAATTATGTTTATCCTTATTTAATTTTGAAGCACTATGATAGCTGAATCTCGCTGACTGATGGAGTGATCAGCAGCGCCCTCAGCCCTCAGTTGGATCTCGCCACTCCATGGCGAGATCATAATTTTTGGTCTGAGTAGTTTCCGGTGACAGTGTTGTCTGACCTTCACAACTTCTTTTACGAGAACATGTTTTCCATTTGTGCAAGAGGTCTTAAACTGTAGAGGAATGTTAGTTATGTGCTTCAGACAGAAGCAAACTGTGTCCACATACCATTGTGTGTGTGTATGTGTATGTGTATGTGTATGTGTATGTGTGTGTGTGTGTGTGTGTGTGTGTGTGTGTCTTTTTCCATTAGTTTACAAAGATAACCCTCTTTAAACAAATATAACAGTCGAAGAAACACATCAATCAATCAATCAATGTTTATTTATATAGCCCAATATCACAAATGTTACATTTGTCTCAGTGGACTTCACAGTTTGTACAGAATATCAGTATGACAATACGACACCCTCTGTCCTTAGACCCTCACATCGTACAAGGAAAGACTTCCAGAGAAAACCCACAGTTTAAAGGGAAAAATGGGAGAAACCTCAGGGAGAGCAACAGAGGAGGGATCCCTCTCCCAGGACGGACAGACGTGCAATAGATGCCGTGTGTAAATTGAAAAGATAATACATTTGCAACATAGGTAGTCCAAATGTTTGGAAATGCATGTGTGTATTGTATTATCTTTTCAATTTACACACGGCATCTATTGCACGTCTGTCCGTCCTGGGNCCAATATTGTGAAGCACTCAAATCTATCTCCACAAAAAAACGTTGCTGTAATATATTACGCTTTTCAGCTACAATATTAATTACAAATTGAAGTAAGTACAGTGCATATATCCCTCCACAGAACTAAAGTATGCTTTAAAAAGTTTAAGAGTGATGGAATCAAAGGCTTGAATTATATAAAAAAGCACAACATGCGAAAATCCAACCCCACGCAGGGGGGTCTGAGGGATTCCCCCCAGGAGATTTTTTAGAAATACTAACATAAAACTATGCATTCTGGTACACCTCTTGAGAAGAAATAAAATAACTATACCGTACATATTAATAATTATTTATGCCATGTTGTTTTTCCACTTTGTTCTGACATCTGCTGCGACGCGAAGAGTAAAGAGGAATAGTCTTTTGAACTTTACTTTAAATTGGGGTAAGGGTAGATGCTCCCCATCTGCGAATAGGACCTGTCAATCATCAAACCGGGGGTCATATTTCATTATATGTTCATTTGTATATGAAGCTGTACCCATGGATGTATAAAGAAGAGTTCTACCGCAAAGTTATTCTCGATGGGGACTTCCGGCAACAATCTTGATTCTGATTGGCCAGAAGACTCGAAAAAACATCAGCAAAGATATTTTATTGAGAAGATGATCACTACGTGACAGAAGTTTTCAAAACCGTTTATGGTCTCCGGCACTTCCAGTTCAACGCCGACTGCATGCATAGCGTTAGAAAATCGGTCCTTCAAAATAAAAGTTTGACTTTTTCCCCCAAAAAAAAAAAATTCCTTTTTTTTTTTTGTTCTTCACTCACACATCCGCGACCCACTCGAAACGGGTCAGTGGGTCGCGACCCACCAGTTGAGAACCACTGCTCTAGACAACAGTGGAGGGTTCGAGAAACAACCGTGTTTGCTGGGTGCACCGCGGCGGACGTGGGGAGGTTCCAGCCGGGAACCTCCACCCCGCTGCGGGACCCGTGATGGGACCCCTGAGTCTGACGGTGCGTCTTGGTCACGCTTCATATCGGCCGGCCCAGGAAGGAAGAGACATGCAGAGTGGGGGAAGTCCCCCACCCCAACTCAGCACACCCTAAATAAAACCGGGGAAAAGTGAAAAAAAGGCACTCGTGAGGCGGGCAGAGTCCCCTGTCAACCCCCGTTACATTCCTCCATGGTGTCATTTAAGCGACAAATGGCTAAATCAACTTTTACGAGAACCAGGCTGGGGGGGGTCAAAAAGGCTTAACCAAGGCCGACCCAAAGTGCATGGTGAGCGGACCCATCACCTCCGTGAGAGTGGAGGAGTCCTGAAAGTGGAGCCTGCACCAGAACTGTCCTGAGAGTGGAGGCCTGCAGGCAGACCCCTCTCGACTCAGTGGCAGTAAAATGTTATGTAATTCTAGCATATGGTGGCTTGGATTATTGTCTGAAACTAATCTTTTTAAATGAATAATCCACCATAACCTCTTATGTTTCCCTGTGTGTCTCAGCTGCATTTCATCTACTTGGCACGGAGCACTAAGTGGATCCTGGCTGGTCTGGCATCAATCTTCGTCGTCACGTTCCTGATGATGTCCTGTGGCTTCCTCTTTCCTTATTCGGCCAGTCCAGAAAGCCCGAGGCCAAAAAGAGTTTTCCTGCAGGTTAGAAGTCACGTCACACTCACAGAAGCACAAATATGTGCCCTCAGACTCATTCATAAACATGTATTCTAATACTGGCTAAGGAAAGAATATTGAAAACCCTCATACATTACTCATTTTCTATTCACTGGGTGGAAATCCATTTAAAAAGTAACATTCAATTGTATTTTTTCGGTAATTATTTTGGCCACAACTAGCTGTCCTGCTGTGCTGCTCCTGCTTGGCTGATTAAAATCTCTTGTTGACAGCAGGTGAAATACAAAGCTACTATTCATCGTGTTTCTTTTGTAACTGGGACACGGCACACCATGACATCTCTCTACAAGACATATTGATTGGATAGAAGTGCTCTGATTCCACCTCTTGCTGATGTAAATCACAGAGAACTCAGGAGGGACATGACAGGCAGAAATATGTTGGTTTCATGCACTGGTCAAATGTGAGAGGTTCGGCTATTTTACTGCCAAAAGATGTCTGCTTTCAGACTACTGGAAGGAATGCATTACAAATACAGAGGTGTTTATTTTAATAGAGTTTACCTATTTGCTTCTGCAGATTCATTAGGTAATTCCTCATTAGGCTATATAAATACAACATTTCTAAAACTAAGTAATGTAAACATTTGACCATATTCACCTGTAGTGTCTCCCCTTCAAAGTACATGAAACCTTTGTTTCCTCCACCCTCCCTCAGCACACGACGCGGACCTTCCACAACCTGCAGGGCCAGGTGGAGAGCCGGGACTCAGGTCTGTGGATCAACAGTTTTGACTACACAGGCATCCAGCACATCACGCCTCACATCCCCGACATCAACGACAGCATCCGCACCATCTGCCGAGAGGACCGGCCCTTCTGCGGTTACCCCTGGTTCCTGCCCGTCAAGTTCCTCAGCAAGTCAGTAATGCATAAAGCATGCTTTTAGCTGAATGCGGTGTTTCCCTGCACTTTGTTTTGTTGAATTGTAAATGGACTTCATGTTGATTTTCATATTCCATATTCATCCTTTAAGTGTTTTGATTGTATTTCCAGGAAGAACTGGTACCTCCCTGCTCCAGAAGTGTCTCCCAGCTCTCCTGTGGAGTTCAGCCTGCTGTCCAGAGAGGAGACCAGCTGGGGGACGGTCAAGATGACCTTCAGTGTGAAAGGTCAGGAGCACTTAATGTAACCAGATCTTCACAAATACGACACTAAAAACACACATTCCTCTAAGGCAAGGGTGTCAAACTCAAGGCCCGGGGGCCAAATCCGGCCCTCGACTTCATTTTATGTGGCCCGCAAGAGCTTGCAAAGAATATAATATGTTTATTACGTGGTTGAATGCCGCTTTACAGAAGCACGTTGCACATAAACTACATGTCCCACAATGCATCTCATTCTATGACTGCACACTGAAGAGACTTGCAATTATTTGCTCTAGACTTCTGCTTTCAGACGTAGTTAATTATGAAGTTATTACCCTATCCCATAATAATCTAACGCAGAGGCAATAATGTAATATAATACATTATTTTATATATATTAAATATTTATATTTATATATAATAATAATACATTACATTTATAAAGCGCTTTTCCTGGTGCTCAAAGCGCTTATATATAGTTATGTGTACATATACAGTGGGGCAAAAAAAGTATTTAGTCAGCCACCAATTGTGCAAGTTCTCCCACTTAAAAAGATGAGAGGCCTGTAATTTTCATCCTAGGTACACTTCAACTACGAGAGACAAAATGAGAAAAACAAAATTAGAAAATCACATTGTCTGATTTTTTAAAGAATTTATTTGCAAATTATGGTGGAAAATAAGTATTTGGTCAATAACAAAAGTTCATCTCAATACTTTGTTATATACCCTTTGTTGGCAATGACAGAGGTCAAACGTTTTCTGTAAGTCTTCACAAGGTTTTCACACACTGTTGCTGGTATTTTGGCCCATTCCTCCATGCAGATCTCCTCTAGAGCAGTGATGTTTTGGGGCTGTCGCGCTTTCAACTCCCTCCAAAGATTTTCTAAGGGGTTGAGATCTGGAGACTGGCTAGGCCACTCCAGGACCTTGAAATGCTTCTTACGAAGCCACTCCTTCGTTGCCCGGGTGGTGTGTTTGGGATCATTGTCATGCTGAAAGACCCAGCCACGTTTCATCTTCAATGCCCTTGCTGATGGAAGGAGGTTGTCACTTAAAATCTCACGATACATGGCCCCATTCATTCTTTCCTTTACACGGATCAGTCGTCCTGGTCCCTTTGCAGAAAAACAGCCCCA